CGTGCATTAACTCGTTAAACAGAAAACCCGAGGGAACATAGCCCATTTCATTATTTTCTAAGCACATGCATACGTTTTAATATGTAGGGCGATTTTCATGATTGCTCGCACTCTCTTTATCTCTTTATAATAACGCAGTATTATATCGCTGTTTCTCTCGCTCTCTGTTTTCCTTTCATGTATTTATTTTATTTTATATTTTTTATTCATTAAGACGCGTAAGTGTAAAGCTTATTTGCTGTGAATTTGTATCAATAATAACAAAATAAAGCACTTAGCTCGCTGCAAAACTCCAAAGTGCAAATTACTCCCAATATTTATCTTTCTTTCATTCTCTCTCTCTCTCTCTATCTCTCTCTATCTCTTTCTCTCTATCTCTCTCTCTCTCTCTTTCTCTCTTTCTCTCTTTCTCTCTTTCTCTCTTTCTCTCTTTCTCTCTTACTCTCTCACTCTCTCACTCTCTCGCTCCTGCTCTTTCAGTCACTCGTATTTCCGGGTGTGCATTCATACAAATCGTTTGACATCAATAAGTATTATGCATTATCGCATTGATTTTCATTATTTTTATTTCTATGCTGCTTTCACACCAAAATTTGCAAAATTTTCTCTGTATATAGTACGTGTCGTGTCGCGCAAATATTTCTTATAGAGAAACGAGAAAATACGATTTATAAGCGTCTTTCATCTTATTATTTTCATATATATATATATATATATATATATATATATATATATATATATATGTATATGTACGTTTTAAACTGCTTAGACGTGTGTATTTACGTGAACACTTGCTTTCTCGCGCATCCAAAACAGTTACCATTACGCAGAGCCAAAATCGCATTTCTTATTTATTTATAATAATTCAGTATATCTTTTTATTTTGTTCTTTTTTAATTTACTTTTTTTTGTTTATAATCATCTTATTTCTCTCGAGTAAAAAGTACGTTCATTAGATTGTACAAATGTACGTGTGCGATTCATAAGCAGCGAAGATGCAAATCGAATTAATTTTTAATTCTTATATCCTTTTACATAATATGTACAGAAATTTTCATGGTGAAAAATGAGTCTAGGTGATACGCGGTAATTTCTCTCTTTCTATGGCTGACAAATGACTTATAATCCGTTTATTTTGTTTTGTCATCATATATTATATTTCCATTTTTATATTTTTTCTGTCCACACTTTTTCGATTTTTAGTATAGAATGTGTAATATAAGTGAGCGTGCTTATTAATTTTTCCGCTCTCATGAACCTTACAACACTTACATGTATTTACTTTGAAGATTTTTATTCTTCTTTAGCTATGCGTGAATTTATTTATCATGTATCTTTTACGAATATTCCTATTTTTTTTACACGCAATTACATATTTAATAATTTATTTCACACGAAATTTCGAGAATGGTCGTTCTGTGTACGTGCATCTGTATACGTCTATTTATTTAATTGCACGACTGTGTGCAAATGCTTTTTTCTGTCTCTCTCTCTCTGTGTGTCTCTCTCTCTCTCTCTCTCTCTCTCTCTCTCTCTCTCTCTTTCGCCTTGTATGCATACATGGAGTATATGTGGATTTGTCTTATTCATTCTGTATGCGACCATGTTGGTGCGTGTACATATATGGACATGTAGAAAAGAGCATTTTTACTTATCAATTCTCAGTCTATAGTGGAAGTGACTGGAACGATAAGAATACAGCATTTTTGTAACTACTTGCATATGTTTGGACAGATTTTAAATACAATATCTGTATTAGACAATTTCCATATAATTGCGCACAATGTGTATATGTGTTAGCTTGTTTTTATCTTTTTTAACGTTTATATGTTTTCGCGCACGCACATTTTATCTACTATTGTACGCAATACATTTCGGATATAGAACGAAGAAACGACGGCGACGACGGCAATTTTTACTTTCTGCATAATGTGCCTTAGGATCAGAAGATATTTATGATTTTGAATAAAGATACAGGCTTTAATTGTATAATTATTAATTTTTCCGCAATGACGATAGTTTTATCAACAGTAGAATGTTTCATAGTATAACAAAATACATGATATTCATAAATGTTTTATTATACAATGTAAATGTAAATTTTTATTCCATACTGAAATTTTGTATAGTTTGATAAGTTACGCAAACTTTATTTTAATAACATATCATATTATAATGTTTTCAATTATTAAGCAGAAGCTTATTAATAGAATTTTTAATGTTGTTAGCTTTATTATCCCATTTACATTAATAAAAGCTCTAATAGTTAACAACAATAACAAAATATTATTGAAATGGAAAATAAGATTATTATTTAAAAAATTACACTCATTAATTCAAAATTATGTACATAAAATAAACATAATGTATTGAATAATGTATTCAATATTATTTAAATATGAGAAAGGAAGAGAGAGAGTTTTTTTTTTTTAATTAAAGTCTCTTGTACACTGGAGTAAGAAGAGTTAAATTACCCTTATCATTTTTCATTTTATATTCTTTTATTACTTTTTTTGCACTTTCATGTAAATATTAATTATATAACTTTGTATATGAGATGAAAAAAATTCGTTGAATCATTGATTTGCTTTTATCTATTATAATTACTTATTATTAGAAAAAATAAATATAAAAACTTGAATAATCGATTATTCTTACTAATTTTTTTTTTTATTGTTATTCTATATTTAATATTAAAAGTTTTTATTTGCTTTCAATTATTAAATAAATTCCTTGACTTCGACATTATCGAAAGAAATAAATTGCCTATTTCAATTATAGAAATAAATTGTTAAAAATTTAAATAATTATGATATAAAAATTACATAGTATACATTAATAATATTTATATGCATAATAGTCTTAATATATATAATTGTAAAATGACTTATATTTTCTTATTTCAGTTAAAATTTTAAGTTTATATGTATTAACATAAAGAGATCTTTATGTAAATTATAAATTTACATGTTTCTGTAGCAATGAAAGTTTTGTTAGATTATTTATAACAGTATTTTAATTGAGCGAGTTCATAGTGTTTACTAAAATATCTAAGATTTAAAGTAGTATAAAGTTAAAATAATGTACAAAATTCTTATCTAGTTTGTTAGAAATTGTAATTTTATCATTTAGCGATTGGATGTTCAAGGGATAGCATTATAACCTAATATAAATAAAATTTACTATTAATACAAAATGAATTAAATGAAAATTATAACATCATTTCGCTGGTGATTTGATAATTTTTAAAATAATTTTTAATGGCATATATGACTTGCAATTCTGTCAATAACAATGTTATATTAATATATATATATATATATATATATATATATCAGCTAGAATATAGTAATAAACGTTCTATCATTCGAGTCCTTTTTATACGTATGGATTTATCGAAAAAGAGTTTCAAATGCATTATAATTAATGTATATTACATTTTAGACTTTCTGCATAAATTATCGACTTAACAAATTAGAATTTTCAATATTATCGAATAACAATTAAGAAATTATTATACCATTATTTTAGTAATTATCAATATTTTGAAATTACCATGGAGAAAGAAGTATTTTCAACTTCTATTAAAATTGTAATGTGCGTTAAATTAATGATAGAAATAGTTATTTTAAAAAAAATCACGATTTATATTTAATACATAATAAAATTTTATTTATTTAGGCTTCAATACTTTATTGATCCCTTAGTAAATGCTGTGGCATAATTTAGACTTATTACTGATTTGCTCTTTGACATTATTTTTTTTTATTTCATGATCATTTTTTCAATTGTAAAGGCAACTTGTTGAAGAATTTCTTAAATTTTATAATTAAGAGTAAGGCTGCGATACGTTATATAATAGAATAGTGGTTATTAAAATGGATTTTGTCTTAGCAAAAAAGACTTTTGATTAAGTTTACAACAAACGATTCGCCAAAATTATGAAACCTGTTATTGTATTACAATGTCTTTTCACTTCGCGTACTTTATTAAGTATTTTATCAAGTTTTTATAATTTTTTACACAATCTGATGTCTTAGAATTGGTGTAATATAATAGTAGTTTATTATTATTATTATTATTATTTAATTATAATTGTTAATTGTTATTGGACTGAAGGAAACCGATATTTTACAACTAGCATAGAAAAACATTTCTTTATTAAGTCGAAATTCGATAATAGGCAATTACTATTAAAATTGTCGCATCGGTTCTTTCTTTCCATTTGCTTTAATTTTTTACATTTCATAAGCATACTTTGATATTTATAGTATTAGAGGTCATGTTACATACAGTAATTTTAGAAAAATTGTATGTATCTGATTATAGTAATAGTAATATTATCATTACATAACTCTAGTACATTTATAATTTAGCAAATTCTTTAACTAATTTATGCGTTTGCTTTTCATGTAGATGTAATTTGATCATGTAGTTAATGTTAAAAAAAATATTGTATCGTATTTAGTAGAAAGATATAGTCAGTTTATATGGAACCGCTCATGTGATTTATTTCTACAAAATTGTTCGTAAACTCTGCAAAAATCTAAAAAAATTTATTATATCAAGTGTTTGAAAAACTCTAGTACGTCAAAGAAAATAAAAATATTATACGTCAAAAGCAAAACATAGAAGTGGATCATATTTTTCAAAATCTCGTACTCTTTCATTGTAGAATTTACGTTTGAAAAACAGTCCCATAATAAAAACTTCTTACATTTATTATAAATACGTGTTAGGACAGTCTTCTATCGCGCAAGCAACATGATTTGACTTCCATATAATACTATCCTTACAACGATGTATACCCAACGAATATTATTTTATTTCAAATATTCTCCCTCCCTTCCTCTCTCTCTCTCTCTCTCTCTCTCTCTCTCTCTCTCTTCCCCTTTGCGCCATTGAACTCTTCCTTCAAGCTCCTTTCAATCCTCGTCAGCGTCATACACCACAGTTTTCATCGTCGTCGTCGTCGTCTCTCTCTCTCTCTCTCTCTCTCTCTCTCTCTCTCTCTCTTCCCCTTTGCGCCATTAAAAGCTGATCTCCCTTCGTCCCCCTCGGCACTCGTACCCCGTCAAGATCTGAGTTAACGCGCAACGGCATGATAATTATGTCGAATGATTGCCTCAGCCAACTGCCGTGGCTCCATCAGCATCCGCGTCGTCGCGAGGAGCAGCCACGTCGTTGTTGTCCGTCGTCGTCGTCGTGTCCATTCATCAGACGTCCGCGGTGCGCGAGGTGACGCTCGGCGATCGACTGTGTATGACCACCCGGTGCCCGTTCTTGGTGACGAAACCGTCGCTCTCGACGAGGACTGCCGTCTGCATGACGACGCCGTCGCCCTCGTGCCCGGCCTCGGGCTCCGCCTCCCTTTCCCTCTCCCTCTCCCTCTCCCTCTCCCTCTCCCTGTCAACGACCCCGTCCCCGTCCCCGTCCCCGTCCCCATCGGCGTCGTGGCTCTGATCGGCCCCGTCGAGGTCACTGTCGCCGTGCCTCTGCTGCTTATGCTTGCGCCAGGCGTTCTGTATGAGTCTCGCGCAGTATTCCTCGCGCTGCCGCCATAATGTCGAGGAGACCGGCTCGTAGCCGACTTCGCCCGGTCGCGTCTGTACCTCCGCGAGCTCGCCGGTCTCCTCGATTGCATTGCCCTTTCGTGCGAAAAAGTCTTTGGTGAGAGCATCGAGGATATCCACGCAAAACATAAGGTCCCCCTTACATATGGGAATATCCATCGACACAATCTTGTATTTGTTAGGCTTGTGAATTTGCAGCGGCGGCTCGAGGACATCGAGAAAATCTGAGAGCTGATCGTAGCGTATGTATTGGGTGCCGTCTGGGTCGAACTGCTGCCATATTTCGTAATACATGTCATAGTCGTCGTCGGTGAGACCTTCTTGGACGTCCTCAGTGGCTTGCGAATAATTCTCGAGAATGACCGCAATGTACATGTTGATGACGATCAGGAAACTGATAACGAGATAGGAGAGTAAGTAGGCTATGCCAATGGTCGAGGAGCCGCAATTACCCGGGTAGCCGATCTCGTTATTCGGCTCCTGGCAGTCCTCTTCGTTAATTATGCCGTCGAGGACGCCATCCCATCCGGCCGACGTCGACATCTGTAAAAATACAAATTATTTTTCAATAACCTGACGCCGGCAAATCATAATTTCATTATACCTCGCAATCTCAATGGCATTTGAGATTTTCTATCATATTATAATATTATGAGATATTATACGCTGAAACTCAATACAGTTGCTTCTATTTACGGCTTATATTTATTCATAATTTTATGCTGCATTATAATCTATATGCCTTCAGTTACATATTATTATTCTGCACACGCGATCACACGATAATTCGTGTTGTCGATTTAACATAAAATGCCATTATCCGATAAATCTTTCTCATTTAAATTACGCAATTCGAATAATTCACTATCCATTTTATTAGGCATTTATGATAGACTATTTGTTATTTACAATCCCGAATATTATTAAAAGAAGTAAAATTCATCCTATGTTTCTACAAACCGTGCGATGATAGGGAATTTAGTAACATTTCGATAAACATGCAGTTACATAATGTCGGCCTCCCATATGCCAAAAACGTAATGGCAATTATAATTAATAACAATGCGCATCGCAATTGCTCGTTCGAAACTTCAAAGTACACAATTATAACGAAGTCAAAGCAATACAATGCCGAGTAAATATTGCGCAATATATTCCGAAATATTCGAGGCATTTTGCATAAATTTGATGAGAATTTAGACAACAAATAGAGTTTGCACGCTGTCAGTGAGCAGAATTTGCTCAAACGTTAAAATTAAGGGCTGCGTAACTTACTTGAAAAAGCAGTATCATCGACTGGCCAAAGGTCTTGAAGTTATAAACATCGTCAAGACCGCTTTTGTCCTTTACGTGCATGAAAAAGGACATGCCAAATATTGCAAAGATAAACATGACCAAGAACAGCAGCAGACAAATATTGAATAGCGCTGGCAAGGACATCGCCAATGCGAAGAGAAGAGTTCTTATACCCTTGGCACCTTTCACGAGACGCAGAACACGGCCAACCTTAGCCACACGTACTACCCTGAGAAGTGTCGGTGACACAAAGTACTTCTCAATTATGTCACTCAGCACCAGACCTATGCGTTTTCAAAAAAAAAAAACAAGGCTTATTATTATGGATTTTTATGGCATTTATTGATTTTAGCGAAAGGGAAATAATGTCTAAAAGCATTTGTTCATAGATGCAGATCTGTTTCTCTAACTTGCAATCTCTTTCGGTTGAGCATTCACTTACGCGGCTTTGAAAATTTTGTACTTCATATTCTTCAAAGATTTATAAATATGGGTAATACAATTACAAGGATATTCTTACATTTTATTAATAATTACGTGTATTTTTTAAATATTTCTATTTTAGATTTTTTAGTACTTTTATCAAAATTATATCAAAATTTTGTTTCAAATTCATATCATGTGCACATAGCAAGCATAATTCATTATATTTACAGTTTTGAAAAAAAAGCAAGTAATATATGTTTAATCTCGATCTAGAATACTAAATTAGCACATATATGTATATATATATATATCGATAATATACTTAGACGAACAACTCTTACGATATTAATTTTCAATGAATTTGAAATTACGATAAATTTAATGTAGTTTCTTCATCCTTTAAATAGAAAAGGACTAAAGAAATTAAAAAATATGTTTAACATTTATTAGAAAAGTTTGAGCTAATTTTTTTAAACCTACAGATCATAGAAAATTTTAAATTTAACATTTTATATTAATGTGACAAGTCAGTAAATACTCTAAAATAATATAGAAATTTTGAATATTCCTTGTATTGTGATCTATATCGTAATAATTTTCGTTTGAATTTGTGTTTGAAACTATACTCTATCGTTATTATTATTATATATATTTAAAAATTTTAATAAAAAATCATGAATTTTATTACACTTAAAAAAAAATTATTTTTTTACATATTATTTTTACATAAATAATATTTCATTTAAATATAAAACAAATTAATATTTTTTTTGTTATTCGAATATACAACCGTAAGAGATTCCATGCGATGGTAGAGCGTAACGTATTTCTTTATTGCTTTAACTTGATATAAGAGATTAAAAGTCATTACAGAGTAAAAAAGATTTAAGTTACATGTAATATACAAAATTAAAATATAATTTAGAAAATGTAGAATAAGTGAACTTAAATATGAGTTAGGAACTGCCATTACAAATATAAATATTAAATTTTCATAAAAGAATATACTTATGTAGATTTGCTTGAATGAACTAATTTCAGTAAATATATAAATGTATGAAAAATTTTATAATAATATTGATAATATTGAAAGTAATAAGAAATAGTAAATATAGATAGTTATTGTATTAATATAATAAAGAAACTTATTATTTTTACAAAGCTATTCATAATATCTGTTATATTTATATTTATTACTATAATAAAAAAAATTCTCTCTGCTGAAATAATCATTATAACGATTCGCTTTACCATTGCCATTTAATAACTAGAGTATGGGATTTTTTTGTAAAATATTTCCCTATCGTCATGCAGATGTTACGATGCACTACAATCTACGGTTATAAGTAGATTAATAAATTTTTAAACCGAATTTATATTATGATGTTGTATTGTTAGAATATATTATGTTTTAATTCAAAATTAATAGCATTCAATTGAAGTCAGTATCGAGTATATTTACGTTTTTCAATATATATATATATATATATATATATATATATATGGAAAAAGTACTTTTTGCTTGTGTGAGTTTATATAAAGTTTAGCTCTAAGAACTAAAACGTGCATTATATAACTACTTGGATTGTTTTTTTTTTTTTTTTTTTTTTTTTTTTTTTTTTTTTTTTTCAAAAAATTTACACGTCATTATATAACCGAAAATGTGATTTTTTAATTAAGAAATATATATTAAGAATATGTGTTTAAGAAAGTAATTAATTTGAATTATTTAAAAAAAAAACTATAAAATAATAACCATACAATAATCAACTAATATAATTCCTCGGTTGGGACTACATCTAAAAACTAATTCTAATAAAAAAGTTATAATTTCAAAGTTAGAAAAGTATTAGTAAAAGTTTTAAGTAAAATATCTACTCCTAGAGGAGATGATTGAAATACCTTACATCTCGACCTTACTTGACTTATTTCCTACCTATTTTACCTACATTGTTGAAATATTTGTTATTCTCGTACAGTCAGCTCGTACGTGTACTCGATGCGAGAACCAAACAAACAACTTTTGAATACTACAAACAACCACAATTTATACTTAAAGGCAAAATACTAATGAACTAAAATTGAATAATCGAATACAATATGTATATATATATATATATATATATATATGAAATTTGTTCAAAGAATAAAATTAAAAATCATTTAAAAAATTACAAACAATAGCTGAAGTTTAATCGATAGATTTCAATATTCTAAAATTTATTATGAAAATTAATTATTATGACTTTTTATGCAATTTCACAAATGAAATATTCAATAAATTCATTATCTTAATTCCAAGTCTATATAGATTTTAAGAATCATTAAATCATGTTTTATAAAAATAAAAATTAAGGAACAATTTAATATTGTATAAAGTTTATTTTGAAACTATAATATTAACATGAGAGACATATTGTACAAAATGATTGAAATTGTAAAATAAAACGATAAAAAATTATAAAAATTAATCCCTTAACGCGTCAATAAAACAAAGATAAATATTTTTTTCGCGAGTATAAATTGGACTTTGAGCTTATGTTCTGTTTAATCCATTACTCGACTGATTCTTAATTTTTCAACTTCAAATTTTTATCGTGGCTTTATAACAGCATTAATAACGATTATAATAGTAACTGCTCAAAATATATAAATATATGTAGACACTACATGCGGGTATACGTTATTTGCATAATTTATTTTCACTTCTTCTTAAATACTTATATATAAATTTCAATAGTTCATCCGTAATAGAATAGAAATCAAATTTAAAAAAAAAAATTCAATGCGTTTTATAGTTTCTTCGAATTGCGACAGTTAAAGGATTAAGTTAAAATTTAAATAAAATTATTAATTTAAATCTATCATAATGAAACAAAATAGTGGGGGGGGGGGAGATTCTCGCAACATGAATACACGCACGATTCTCGTCGTTATATTACGAGTTTTTCTGACTGATAGAGACTTACAACTACTTATAAGACTGCGTACGGTCAGCTTGTCAATTATCAACTAAAAGTCTGTCCTTCAACTTGGTCTAAT